GCGCGCGCACGCACGCACACACACACAGAGAGAGAGAGAGAGAGAGAGAGAGAGAGAGAGAGAGAGAGACAGAGAGACAGACAGGTAGACAGGTAGACAGGCAAAGATAAACAAATCGAATTAGCATTAATAATATAGAGCGTGCGTCCGCTACATTTTCCACCGCGGAGCTTTGAATCGCCGATCGCATAATCAATAAGGAAAATGCCGCGAGAGCTTAGGCAATGGCTGCTCGCAATGCACAATCAAGGCAATCAATGTGGCCGACCTGAAGTTGAACTCCGAGAGCCGGCGAAGTAGATTTATATTGCTTGTGCGCCATTCGTCACGGAAGGAGGTTCGACAACGACGATTTTTCACATTCTCTCCAGCCACTTGTCTTATCAACTTTGTTAACCCACCACGCACTGCCGACGACAGTAACAGCAGCAATAACAAAGACGACGACAGGTCACCAGATGAATATCGATGATATGTTTAATTATGAAATGGTATAAATATAAAAAAAAATGAATGCGTACGTATGCCTCGTAAAGTTCATCGGACATTATTTATAAAAGACATTGGGAATCTTTCATCTTATATACGCATCTTATATATGCGTAAAGTCATGTCTTGTATTACTTTTACTCGATAATACATATATCAATCTCATTGCGTATTCCTTATAAAAAATTTGTAAGTCGATAAGAATGAATTTTGTAACTGGACGTCGGCTTCCTGGTAAATTCACACCGAATGCAATTAAATTTTATCGCACTATTTTATCGGCATTAAAATAGTGGATTGTAGTAAAATTATAGACAGTAAAATTATTTTCAAAGACTCGATCGACCTTTGCTATCTTTTCATCATCGATTATTATTATTATTATTATTATTATTATTATTATTATTATTATTATTATTATTATATATCCCAATAGGCCATTAGAGCCCTGGCCCACAATCAAAATCTGATGATTTTACATTTTTTGCTTACCATGGAAAGAGAAATTTAGATTTCTTGAATTTCGCAGAAAATGCAATTAATTACATGTATTAGGTAGGATGTTAATACCGACCAATACATATACAGCTCTACAATTATCGCAAATTTTTTCCAATTCACTCGAATTCAAGAATACTTCAACGTTCTTCGAACTTGGTATTAGTACAGCAACCCAAGTCAATTTACCAATAATAACAACTCGACAAGTTACCAAGGAAACAAGAAGTCAAATTACAATGAATACTCGCTCTCTCGCTCGTGCATCTCGTGATGCGGCAATTCTATCGGGGGAAATTCGCATAAAGCGACTTTTACTTTGACGGCGGTTTCATTTACTTTTCTACGGATTTTACTTTCGTATGTGCCCCGAGATATTTTGGTCGCGATGGCTATTTCGATTTCGATTAAATTTACTAATATTTTTCCAGAAAGAAATTAAATTATCTCTGCCAATGATGATCGTCGATCTATCTAATAATTAACTGGACTTTATAATTGATTATTGCGAATCACAACGAATGTTTTCAAGTGGAATGCCCACTGCCTTCGAAATAATAAGTATAAAAAAAAAATTTTATTCAACCGAAAGATTATGTACTTGTTATAACGACCAAAGCAA